GATATAGGACTCTCAGAGTGCTTTTGTGAAAGTCTGTAAAATCACTTTACAGTGTGTTCACTATAAAGTAACATTTGATGTCTTAAAAAATCAAAACAAAGTAAAAGCAAAGCAGCACCTAGAAAATCAAGCAATCTAGAAAATGTAAAAAATAGAAAGATTAAAAAAAATCATCATAGTTCTTATACTCCATTCTTTTAGTCCATAACAAAACACCTGAGACTGAGTATAAAGAAAAGAGTGGGTTTTGTGTTTTTGTTGTTTTTTTGTTTTGTTTTGTTTTAAATTATGATTTTGGAAGCTGGAAGTTCATAATTGGGCAGTCCCATCTGTTCAGCTTGTGGTGAAGGTCCATTCAGCTGCATGTTAACATGTCAGAGAAAAGCAGAACCAGCCTCATGCCCAAAGGGGTCAATGAATGAGGTAGTTTCATACCACAACAACCCACCCTTGAGAGAACTAGCTGAGGTTCTTCAAGACTACACAAACCCTTCCCTAGGGCATACCCCCAATTCCTTCATCACTTTTCACTAGACCCCACTTCTTAAAGCTTCCGTGACCTCTCAATACTGCCACACTGGAGACTTGCCTTCTAGCATGTGAACCACAGACTTGAACCATGTCCAAGCCGAAGCACTTGTGGCTAACAACCACTGTTGTTTTCCAGTGAACAACCTTCCAGATATCTTTTTATATACAACTTTACATAAATGTCCTAAATTCTGCATGTCAGTGGATATGGCACAGTGTGAGACATACTGTAGTTAGTTGGTCTCTCTGCCGGAAGAAACATTGTCAAACTTTGTTGACATTACCTCTGTATCCATGTTAGCATTTTAATGTTTCTCATGTTAAATGGCTGTAGAATTTATTCAGCCTCCTATTGCTAAGTATTTAAGTTGTCCTCAGTAGGTACCAGCTGAGCTGTGGCCATACAGGAAAGTACTTATGTTTGTATGCTTATTCATCTGCTGAAATGCCTTTCAAATTTCTTTTAATGAACAAATACTAAACCCCATGGCAACACGGGTACCCAAGAAATCTAGTATTATGGAGCCAGCAAACCCATCTTCAGTTATTCAATCTAGAAGAGACACTGGACACTTTTTGTACACCACATCATCATCTGGACAGCCTGCTCAGCCTCTCCTTACTCACCTCTGGGGCTGGGTTGGAACCTTCTTTCCCTGAGGGGACCTACTCCATGTTGAATGTGTGGATAGAAACCCTGGTTTCAGGTAGCTCTCAGCTCCCTGGTCTGTGTCTCTGATAATTCTCTAAGCACACCCAATTCCTTTATTCAATTTACAATTCCCTTTACTCATTTGAAGATGGCCCCAGCAGCCAGTATTTTATACCCGAAAATACCTCAAGTTCTATCATTTTGTACGATTTTATAAGAGTAAAATATAACAATAATACTTTCTATCATTTATTGAGATTTTCCTCTGGGCGAGGCTCCGTCAAAATGTCTACATGCTTTAATATATTGAAGTCTGCTCTCCAAGTTGGTTGCTTGTGTATTGAATGAAGTCAAGTGGCCTGCCTGAGTTCATAGAGCCAGTAAGTGATGGACATAGGATTCCAGCCTGCTGCCTGATTCTAAGCCTTGGGCCAGGACTGCATCCCCACCAGGGGTTTCTGGAAAGTGCTCCCCACCAGACAAGGTGGGTCTTCTGAGTCTGAGTGGAGGGTGTGCACTCCGAGCAGTACTCATGACAGCAGGGGTGGGGTGCACTGGCTCCTGAGAAGCTCTAGATGGGGTGTCCTGGGGATGGCTACAAAACTAACCTTTTGAATAAAAAAATCCTGGAATTAACAAGTGGGACCTCATTAAACTAAAAAGCTTCTGTACATCAAAGGAGACAACCAAGGAAACAAACAGAAAACCCACAGAATGGGAGAAAATCTTCACCAGCGATACATCTGATAGAGG